AATCCAGCAATTCCCTCCCTAACAGCAGTGTGGGTCTGACCTATATCATATGGACTACAGCAGTTCATGAAGCCAGCTCACCACCACCTTAAGAGCAACTAAGGATGGACATTACATGCTGGTCAGCCAATGGCCAGACCCAATGAGTGAATTAAAAAAAACTTGAGATCAAAATGCCAACTTTTTGATGTGACTATGGGTCTACAGCACAGTATACACTTAATTTCACTTAACACCATTCAATGCAGAGCCAGAAAATGGTGTTTTTCTGAAATGAATGCCATTATAGTAACCTTTCAATTTCCACATTTAATCATATCTTTCATCTGAAGTTGGTGTCACATTTTCATATAACCTCATTGCTAACTTTATAAAATTTTGGGAGCAATAGCAGTGGCACTCCATTTAGCACTGCTACCTCACAGCACCTGGGACCTAGAGTTGATTCTAATTTTGGGCAATTGTCTGTGTGGAGTTTGCTTGTTCTCCCTATCAGTTTCTGCTGAGTGCTCCAGTGTTCCCACCACCCACTCACCCTTCCACAGTCTAAAAAGATGTGCGGGTTACGTAGATTGGGTTTGCAAAATTGTCCTATTGTGTCCAGGGATATGCAGGCTAAGTGGATTAGCCATGGTAAATGGGGGAGTTATGGGGATGGGTGGGACGCTCTTCGGAGAATCAGTGGACTCAATGGATCAAATAGCCTCTACTGTACTGTAGGTGTTCTATAATTCGATAGATGAACAGAACTGTTGTCTTACTAATGCTTCGATGAGAAGGTGAACCCTTTCCCAAACACACATTTTAAAAACTAAACAAACATTTTCAGCAAAATCTGTCAGTACACTTCAGGGGAAATCACACTGAGCATATTATTTCTTTAGAATAAGAATTTTATCCTTATCTTAATTAAGAAGCCACATATCACTCTGCATAGGCAAAATGGATTTAAGTTGATCAAATGCCTACTCAAATCTAAGGTCATCAACAGTTAAAATTCCTTTTTTTAAAATTGGCAACTGGGTTACATGGTGAAAGTTACTAATAGAAAATAGAAAAGCAAATGCTAATCTTTATTACAATTCTAAGTATTGTACAGTTTTAATTTCCATCCTACAGATAAGAGGGGAGGCAATGGCCTAGTGGTATCGTCACTGGACTGTTAAGCCAGACAATTTTCTGGGACCCTGGGTTCGAATCCTGCCATGGCAGGAGGTGGAATTTGAATTCAATAAATATCTTGAATTAAGAGTCTAATGATGACTGTGAATCCAGTGTTGATTGTCAGGAAAAACCCATCTGGTTCACTAATGTCCTTTAGGGAAGGAAACGGCCAGCCTTACCTGGTCTGGCCTAGGTATGACTCCAGACCCACAGCAATGTGGTTGATTCTTAACTACCCTCTGGGCAATTACGCATGGGAAATAAATGCTGCCTGGCTAGCAATGCCCTCATCCCATGAATGAATAAAGGATACGAGGCATTTATTGGAAGGATATACAATATAAATGTATGGGATATCTTATTATAAAACTCTACAGTGCCTTGACATGATTCCACATGAACAGCACTGAGCACAACTTTAGTCTCCCCATTTGAGAAGGTCTACACTTGCATTGAAGGCAGGTCAGAGAACGTTCCCAGAGTTGAAGGGGCTGTCTTTCTGACCATTGAGCAGGTTTGTTTGGAATGTGAAAAATCAAAGGGTCAACAGGGTAGATGCAGACAGGATGTTTCCCTTGAGGGAAATTGAGAGCTAGGGGCACTTTAAAAGTAAGGGCCTCTTACTTCACAAAGACAAGTAATTTCTTATCTGAGCATTATTGGTCTGTGGAATTCTATGCTGCAGAGAACAGTGCAGGCTTGGTCATTGAATACATTCAACACAAGTTAGATTTTTGATCTTGAAATGAGTCAATGGATGTTTGACGCAAGGATGGGATGGGATTGTGTGGAGGAGCAGATAGGAAAGAGGAACCAAGGCCATACAGGTCAGATCTGTCACAATGTTACTGAATGGTGGAGTTCAGTAGACTAAAATGGCCAATACCACTGCCTTAGATTTGTCATTTTGTCAGATTTTCTTCAACTGGAAGGCCAAAGCCATCGTCTTCCATCCCTACCAACTTTCATAGTCACATCCCTAGGCCTAAACATTATCAGACTAAACCAGAGGTTTAGTGGGCGATGCATTATTGGATCATGCAATATGAGGTGATGCATTTTGAAGGGGGGGTGGTTTGAGAGATGCATGAGGCAAGATTTTCATACAGGGGTGATGAGTGCCTGAAAGGTGCTGCCAGAGGTGGTGGTGGAAGCAGACACAGTAGCAGCATTCAAGAAGCACCTGGACGAATACATGAATAAGAAACAAATAGAGGTATACGGATTCTGTAAGTGAAGACAGTTTTAGTCTGGAATGGTAAAACTGTGTTGACACAGGCTTGGAAGGCCGAAGGGCCTGTTCCTGTGCTGTATTGTTCTTTGTTCTTAGCCTGGGGCAGGCAGCAGTGAAGGCAAGAGCAGATACCCTGTGACACCCAGCAGCAAGAGCAGGAGCAGGAACAGGCTCCAAGGCAGGAAGTGTAGGCAGCCCAGGGTGGCAGTAGGGGCAACGTTGAGTCCAGTATGGCTAAGAGGATATGGACTGTGGTGTTTTTTTTTCTAACTCCTTCTTCGTAAGGACTGTAATATTTTAACCATTTAAACACTTCTTTATTCTTTTATCTTGTACGAAGACTCTGTACCTAGGTACCTTTGCACCCAAGATGGCACCATAAGTAGCGATTTGTAAACTTTCTACTATACTTACACGAGTACGTGTAAAACCTCATTCAATTCAATCCGAACATCTACTGCTACCAACACAGTTTAAGCATACAAGGTTTTAGGACTGAGATATGGAGGAACCTCTTCAGCCAGATAGTGGTGAACCTTTGGAATTCAGTCACAAAAAGCAGCTGAGGCCCAAAACATTGAATGCTTTCAAGGTGAAACAGTTCTTAGGGCAAACTGAATCAGACAGTATGGGACAAACACAGGAACAGGGTAGTAGAGCAAGATGGTCAGCCATGATCGTATTCAATGGCAGAGCAGGCTCAAAAGGGCTAAATGGCCTACTCCTGCTCCTATTTTCTGTGTCTCAATGCCTACCATTGCTCATTGTTCATCTACTAAGCTCGGTTCCCTAGACATTAAGCTGACATGCAGTGTAAATCAGAATAAAAGGTACCCATCAAAAGCGATAATAAACATTTTCATGCGTAAAAAGGTGTTTCTCACTTACCGTGAACGTTCGGCCTTTGGCAACTTCAGAATATTAGAACAGAATCTTACTCACAAATGCAGGTGCCAAGATATAACAATAACGGAATTAGTAAGTAGCAAAATGCAGAAGTGGAAATTAGAAATAGGTAGATCCTGAAGGCTGCATTTAGATGAAATGGAAACAGCGAGAGTAAATGAGATTAGATGATTACTTACAAATGAGCCAGTAAATGGGATGATAAACTGAATTTCAAAATGATTCGTACCATGTCAATTTTAATATAAAGTTCTATTTCCTAATACAAGGTTGACATGTTAACTTATGTTCGAGTTCAGCTTTTAAAAGCTGACAGCCATAAATTCCAAAAGTTTTGGTTATCAGGAAGTTAATTCCTTTCTGTAGAAGGAGTTTGTTTGCATTGCATGCAGAATAACAATTCAAAATAATTTATTGACAGGACTAGCTGGTTCATCTTGGTGTATAGAGTAAATACAGCAGTGAGTGACAGTTCAGCTATAAGCTTTGAATCTTCAGCTGAAGCTGATATGATTATCTGTGCAGAATCAGAGAAATCATAGCATTAGTTCCTAATGGACATTAATTCATATCCCAGTTCCTTTTAATTGGGCACTGTCACAAACCATATCTTGCTAATTTACTACAACTGGCACGTTCAAGGGAAAATACTTAAAGTGGTACAGCAAGTAATTTTTTGGACTGGGGCCAAAGTTCATTTTTTTTTCCTGCTAGCTGTGGTACACTCAGTCTGGAAGGCATGCATATAAAAGGAGCCTGAAATAAAAAGATGTCCCATTTCACAAGCTCTAATAAATTCTCACTTTTAGCTGCACAAAACTAATGAAAGGACAGATGAAAATACTTTAATAGATCTTTAGGCATCAGCATTTAAGGTTATCATTGCAAGTCGAACTTTTACTTAAGTTACATTTAAAAAATATAAAAAAAAAAAACCTAGATTATTTTCAGGCCAAATATATATTGCGCTTTCTGAAGTTCTGTTGTCGGAATTCAAAATGTGCTTGTAATGTATTCTTTTGAAGGCAATGACAATTTTATCACAGCTGTATAAAATGTTTAGTTCAGTTATACCATGCGTGTAATATTTTTCAACTATCTACTTGAAACAGTTTTAACACAATTACATATTTCTGATCAATCTATATTTATGAAATCTCAAATGTACTTTTTTGGAAGTACCAAAATTTGCAAAGATAACGGATTAAATTACATACAAAATCAGCTGTCTATCCATTAACATATTTTATATTCAAAAATTATGTCAAAAAGTAAGAGAACTACTATATATTGCATAGACTACCATTGTCAGCAGTAAACCCAGTTTCAGTGTGATGATACATTTTTAGCACAAGAGCCTTGAGAATGACTAACTGCAAAATGTTCTTCAAAAGAACTGTGCGCAAATTCACATTTAATTTAAAACCAAGTTTTCACTGGTGACAAACAAACTTGGTGACTTCATTTCTGTCCATCATAGCATGCTTTAAGTTAAATGTGGAAATCTATTTCTGTCAGTACAGACAAAACCATGTCTAAAATGACTATTTGGAGCAAATACATAGTTCCACAATTCAAAAGGACTTCCTGGAATGTTAAATTTGTGCAAAGGGATGTCTGGGCATCCATCACTCTGAACGAATAAACTATTAATTGCTAGAATGTTGAAATGGAACGCTTTATCTTAAAAAAAAACTTACCAGCAAACATTTTATTTCCTATTTCCATCTTTGAGAATTACAGAACTTAGCACAGATCACTTAAGTATTCATTGCAAAATGCTGGGTTTAAAATTTTCCAAATTTCCAAGATTTTTTTTAAACAAGAAATTGTTCATGGCTCTTTCAAAAAAAAAATCAAGAACACTTACATCACATTCAGGCTCTAACTCCAGAGAAAATATCTTAAGTCTTTTAATTTGGAGTTTGGTGTTAACTGTAAGTTTGAAACAACTAAAGCCATTTTGTGTTTTTGAAATAAAGGCAAGCGAACAAAACATATTTTCCCTGCTCCTGTTACCTTATATTTTTCCATGTTAAGTTTAGTACATTCATTATAGAAAGTCTGCAATGCATCATAAATTTATTTAGTCTATTTTCAAAACTACTTGAAGAAAAATTATGCATTAACAATCACTAAAAATGAACTAGTGGCATTTATACCTATGTTGTTTCCCAAGAGACTGCAGAAATCTTCAAAATAGGTTTGTTAGATAACATTTCCTCTTCTTCCCCAAGAAAAATGCATATCTGTCCGAATTAGGTTCCTTATCAAAACGGCAAGCTCCAAAATTTAAATGCCGCATACACAAATCGCTTCACTTACACCTCAAATTGAGCAATAGCAAGTCATAGGAATAAGGCTGTATGTAAATTATCATCCTAAAGAGTTTTAACCATGAAGTTAGAAGCTTAAAATGAGGTGAAGACAAACAAGGGAAGTGAGGAAAAGCAGTACAGAAAGACAGAAAAGGTGGATAGAGCTACAGAAGTATTTATTAGGCATGCTACAGCAAGCGAACAGAGTACACAGAAAAGAAAATCAAAGCCAACACAACCATCAAACATCCCAATTTTGTTAGAAAATTAATTTTAATTGTGCCTCTTTCAAACTATACTGAGATTTACATTGCTAGAGATCAAGATGTAAAAACATAACTAATATAGAAAATATATATGACCTTTTTTGCTACATAGTTCAGATATGCTATGTATATGATTTATACTAATACATAGATCTGAAAAGTTCTTGGCCAAACTACTTAAATTTAACAACACTTATAATTGTTGGACTTTCTTCAAGGTGATGAACTTTACTCATACAATTCCTCTTATTTGAAGATACAGAGCTGTTTATATTAAAGTCTGTTTCAGTTCAAATACAAAATGTCTTGAAGAGGTTTATTAAAACTGAATATTACAATGCAAGGTAAATTAAGACTAAAGGCACATAAACTTTGGTCCCACCTGGTTGTCCATTCTAGAAAACTGCCACAAAACTATTCTTTATGCTTCTTATTTTGAAGCATTTTTTCTTTTGCCTTTCTATGACACATGCACCAATTTCATTAACTAACTAGACTTGACTGCACATGCTCAAAAAATCCACAGCCATTTCAGTCCTTAATTACAAACTAAAGATGGTAATAGAAATGCAGATAAGCAATTTGCAATGTCAACTGCAAACATCTACAAAATGTATATTCAGCAACAAGCAAGACTGTAACTTAGTGTTAACATTTACACAATACTCCCAACTATTACTTAAATTCTCCAACCATGTGCCCAAAAGAAGGCCCCAGCTTCACTTTCATAGTATATTCAACTTTTAAGGCACATTTCTCTTCATATTTTTCTACTAAATAAAAAGACAGATTATTCAAATTTCCAAAACCTAAAAATGAATGAATTCTCTGAAAAAAACTTCAACATAAGAATGTTTTGAACTTTCATCCCAAGCAGTTGTTGAATGAATTTTCTCTGCCCCTTCTAGTGATTGCTCATCCTTCCAACTTCAGTATAACAAATGTATATATGAAGGAATGACATTAGCTGGAATTGCTAAACTCTGGTCCCACCTTCCTGAAACAAGTCTACAATAAACCACAAAATCAAAATCAAATAATTCAACTGTGAGCTTTTTCTGGGTATTTTCAGATAGTCGATTTGGAGAAGGAGACTCTCAGATGATGATTCTCTCCAAGATCATAGTTGTGAAGGTCAATGAGTGCCTGAATTGCTTCCTCCACAGAACACATTTGCAGCAGCGCCATTTTGTGATCCCTTCTGAAACAAAAGTACGGAATTAGAGAAGTGTGCTTACCTTCTTTTTAGAAAAAAAAGCTATAGCTACTTTTGCTTGTTTTGCCAACAATACTTAGTGCTTTTAAATTCAGGAAACCACAACCTTAAACACTCAAGAATATATGATTGAATTTTACACACAATTGGCAGAATCAAATGAAATTTTGAAATTTGACAGTTAAAACTAATTTTAATGTACATTCTCAATTGAATGTGAATTTTTCTAACCAAAAATAGAACAAATTACATAGATCATAGAACAATACAGTACAGGAACAGGGCCTTTGGAACACCATGTCTGCACCAACTGCGACGCCACTCTAAACTAATCCCACCTGCCTACACCTGGCCCATAAGACCGTAAGATAGAGAAGCAGAATTAGGCCATTTGAATCAATCGACCGTGCCAGTCAATCATGGCTGATAATGTTTCTCAGCCCCATTCTCCTGCCTAATCTCCATAAACCATACTAATCAAGAACCTATCTTTGTCTTAAACACACTGACTTGGCCTCCACAACTCTCTATGGCAGTGAGTTCCAACTCATGGTACTGTAGGAAGGTAACAAGCTGTTGTGGATGTTTGAGGGTGGATCGGGGGTATGACAGACAGAATAGTCCTTCTGAAATGCGAAGAAAAGCAGAGGTAAAGTTGTGTTTGGTGTGATATCACGATAAAGGTGATAGATAATACTCCAGTAAATGGGCAAGTTTAGGTTCATCACAATCCCCACCAACCACTCCGACACCCCTCCCATGCCGTAACCATAAAAGATGCAACACCTGCCTGCACACCACCTCCCTCACCTCCATCCAGAGCCAGAGAACAGTTCTTCCCAGGTCAGACAGAGTTTCATCTGCATCTCCTCCAACCTAGTCTACTGCATCCAGTGCTCCTGATGTGGTCTTCTCTACATCAATGACACCAAACGTGGACTAGGCAACCATTTCAGCAAGCATCTTCGCCTGGCCAAAACGGCCAGGCTAACCTCCCGGTCAGCACCCATTTCAATTCCACATTCCACCCCCACCCCACCCCACGTTACTGCCCCCTTGACATGGCCATCCTCGGCCTCCTCCAGTGTCGCAGTGAATCAGATCGCAAATTTGAGAAACACCACCTTATCTTCCACCTGGTCACCCTACAGTCCAGAGGACTTAACATTGAAATTAGAGAACTCAAATAATCTTCCCTTTGAAAAAAGTTCCCTTTTCCAGCACCACCACATCCTGCCACCTCCTTTCCATTCCTGCTACAAACCAGATTCGTCCCTCCCACTGGTCAATCAGGTCATACTTACTACCAGATGGACATACCACCACCATTCCACTACATTACGTGCCCCTGCCTCTTATCTTCAGCTCCCCCCTACCCCCACATCCAGTCCTGAAGGGTAATACACGAAACGTAGACTTCTCCTCCTCCAGATGCTGCCTGGCTTGCTGTGTTTTTCTAGCTCCCTGTTTGTCTACCTTGAATTCCAGCATTTGCAGTTTTTTTTTTGTTAAGAACAAAGACACAATTCTGGGAGGTTAGAAAAGTAGAAGTGTGGGAAACACCACAGTCTCCAACAATCAGTGGGGAATTAGGATATTTCAGAAACACAGTTGTGCAAGGCTGTATCATTTAAGCATGTGCTTTTAGAACCAGAGAAACTGATATAATGGATTAGAGTTCTTACAAGGTGTAGGGTGTGGAGAAGTGGTAGAAGCAGTTGTGGGAATCAATTAACATAAAACATTTCTTGACATCCTATCAGAAGCAAACAGAAAAGTAAAAAGGGGTATGGGCAGAGAAGGAAAGAATTGTGATAGGCCGTAAGAATCAGACGGGTTGAAATTGGAAGAAAAGTTGATTACATATTCAAATTCAGGACAAGAGCAGGAAATAGCACTTATACAGTCAGCAATAAACTGGAAAGAGGTGAAGGAGGTGTACAGAGTAGAGCTGGAGTTTTGTTACTCAGGTATTTCCAGGACTGAAACAGATACCCAACTTCATTCGGCAGAAGTGAAATGAATGTAAGGAGAAATTGTACAATGAGGGAACAAGTTCAGCAAGGCAATGGAAGGTGGTGGTTGATGGAAGCTGTTGAGCTTCTGTTCGAAAAAAGTAGAGTGCCCTCAGATCCCCCAACGGGGGACTTAGAGCGACCGGACAAGAATGGTGGTGAAGAGGAAACAGTTAATAAGAAGCTAATAAGAGAAGTAAGGAAGGCCGATGTGACATAGTATGCTGGTTTCAAATGACATTCACAGAAAAAGACTTACTGGAAGAATTTAAAGCCCTTCACTTTGCCACCAGTGTTTGTAAAAAGTATCTTGAGATTATCTTCAGTAATTGAAGGTCTGTGAAAACATTAATCAGAGGATTAAAAACTTTGCCCCACAACCATCAAGTTAATTTCTTGATAAGACTGACTATCATTACACTTCAATGACTTACGGAATATTTGAAAGATGAAGAGTAGCAGAGGGAGGGAATATATTCTGGAAATTCTTTGATCCAGGTTTTTTGAAACGATGAAGTGGAGAGTTAGTAAAATCTTTTGTCAATCCCTGATCATCCAGACCCTCTCGAGGTAGCTGCACTGTCTGGTGTTTGGACAGTGTGACACGGATAATCTTTCCATACATTTTCTGCCCATTTAAGTGGCTCATGGCTAAAAGTAAAGACTTAATTTTATTAAGTGCATTTTCTAAACACAAAAGGAAGGAAAATTATTTCAAATGCATATAGAATCTTACCCAGCTGTGCTTGGTTCACATCAGTCATTTGTACAAGAGCACTATCTTTTTTATTGTATAAAATCTTCACACGCTGCACATCACCATAAACACCTTTTGCACAGTGAAAGAGTTAAGAAAAATAAAGTTATGCACAGACTAAATTTGACAAATAACAATTAGTGACAGATCAATGGAACATTCAGATCAGACATCAATGTGAACAAAGTTTTGACATCCAAAATGAGTACAACAAATCAAGATTTAGCACAGTGATTATCTGAAGAGAAAAGTCCTGGTAAAATCCCTCAAAGCTAAATGTGAAGTGATACTAAAGAACATGCAAAATAATTTTTAAGCATGCATTACCATAAATAAAATAGCATCTATGGAGAGAATTACAGCAAAAGAAAAAATAGCAGAAGATTATCTACTTATCTATAAGCCGAACTGCTAGCTATAAATAAGAATTAAGGTGAAAATTTTTAAATCAATAATAAAAAGTATAGTGCTAACGATAACATACCGAAGAGGGTAAACAGACTTTGGGGCGTAACCATCTTTAGAAGGAGAGAAGAGCAAGCAGCGTAAGACAGGAAGAGAGAAGAATCGAGGAAGAGCGGAGATGAACAGATCATCCATAACGAAGGGTGGTTCCCGCAGAATGGTGAGGTGGTCATGGATCATGGTTCAAGGCAGTTAATTGGGGCAAGTTGGTCCGAGGAACATTTTGTTCAAGCACATAAGCATGAACACGAGGAAGAAGGCAGGGATGGGGCAGAAAGAGGATTGGTATTGGGAGGGTTGGGAAATGTGAAACAAACACACAGGGTCAGAAAGGGGGATGGGATGGGTTGGGGTGGAGCAATGCAGAAGAAAACAAGGAGAGGGAAACAAAACAAAAATAAATATATAGGTCAGTACACAGGAAATGCAAGGAATTTGGTCAGAAAATGGCTGGTTCATGTACTTTACAAGAAAATAGAGTTGAATGCAGTCACCCAAGACAAAAAAAAAACCATGGGCAAAATACATTTATAATCAAAGAATTACAATACTTTATATTACATGAAAACAAACAAAAACAAAATCATGCACAAAAAAACCTTGAACTTGGAAGTTAACTGCAGTGTCATGGTGAGGTATGAAATGCAGGCAAATAAATATTGTAGAGGCTGTCTAATTCAAACATTACACTTAGCATGCAGAAGTACAGCATGAAGAAAGTTTTTAAAATGTTACCAAATAGGTTTCCATCATTTAAAACTACACAGAAGTTAATTTGAAATTTTATAAGTGTAAACAGAACCTTGGGCAACTTCTCCCGTGAAGTGCTCAGATACAAGCCACATTTCATACCAGCTTTTGCTAAAGCCAAAATGAAAATAGAGGTATAAGTAGATCATTTGAGGACAAAAGCCCAAGAACCAGCGTTTTACATAATACAAAGATTTGCACAGTGAAAGAACATGTTTAGATACAACAAACCAAGGTTATCAAGGAAGAAAAAGAACAAAAAAGTGGGAAAAGTGTCTCATCAAATTCTTTGGAAAGTACCTTAAAGAAAGGCAACAAAGCAAAGTTTATACAGAAAGCAAGATTCCATGGCAAACAATATATGCAAGCACGAGAACTAAGCAGTTAAGACTACACAACTGCACAGAATTTTGTAGTGAAATAATGAGGTTATTTAGCAAAACTGACATATCAATGTTGATATACAACACAAACCTCATCTCAAATTTTCATCTTACACCATCAACATATTCTTTTATTCCATTCACCATCTTATACTCATATGCATTTAAACAGAACGTATATATATGGCAATACCTCAACTACTGTAGGTGGCAGGGAGTTGCACATTTTCTCCAAGTAAACAAATTCCCCGATTCTTCATAGGATTGATTAGGAATTATATTTATGCCCCAAGTGTTGGACTCCTACATATTTAGACATTTCTCCATTTCCATCCTATTGAACGAATTTATAATTTTAAAAGACCAATAGTTATCTTTCCCATAACAAACAAGGCCCAGATTGTTCTGTCCTGTTTGCTAGTTGTGCCCTCTTAATTCAAATATCGCCGTTGCAAATTTCTTTGAGTGCTCTTAAGTACTCGATATATTTGAATATGAAGAGCAGAATTATATTTCAAGTACACCAAAATTTACAGTATCTGGTACCTCAAAACCTCAGTGGTCCACCAACTAACATCTTTGAATCCTCCCACTCGCATACCAAATGCTCACTTCAGTAACTGGATGACTTTCCATTGCTAACAGGCATCCGAGCATTGTCAGATAACATCGTAAAGACATTCTGGTGAAAGCAGATAGCGGAGTGCTGTTGGGTAACCTCAATCATAATTTAGTGGAGGTGCTGGGAGAGGGAGAGTCACTGTTTGTCCTTCATGGTTTGATAGGACCTAAACTCGTCGTAGTTCCTCATTGCCATCATTTGAACTGCTCTGAAATAACAAGATTGAACCTCATCCTGCCATTACGAGTAAATACAGGAAATCACTGATTGTAGCACATGACTCAAGTATGGAGGGTTGGGAAAGCTAGGGAGAAGGCTATTTCTACATTATTGCTACAATATCAAATTTATGTCAGTGCATTCACAAACCATCACAGACAAGTGTTTTAATTACTTACTGGGAGTTATGGCCACAAACGAACACAAGACAACAGCACGCATTACGCAATTTATAAGCCTCTTCACCACCCAGCATTTTTGATTTACTGGCAACCTAGTTATGGTGCATACTAGATAACTACAGTGTTCTATAGTGGTTCAATGTCTCCTCTTTTGACTTTTGCTCTCCTAAATCTATCCAAGTTGTTTGCTTGCAATTCTTATGGCTTTTTACAACTAAATTTACAAACCTATACGCCCAGGAAGCTTTTGTACAATTTCGATTCTATTTTCCAAGAAATACAAACCTCCTTATTCGAATTAAAATTCACATCAGATCTACGTTTAAATGAACATGTCATCTTCGCATTTGGGCTGTGTGTGACACTAGCTAGACCAGAATTTGTTCATTAATTGCCCTTGAGCAGGTGCAGCCATCTTTTTCAACCTCTGCAGTCTACCTAGTGCAGGTGCACTGAATCCTGCTTGAATCCATTACAATGCAATGAAGAAAACACAGCTCCAAGTTGGAAAGGGGTCTGCCTGGGAGAGCATGGCATATTCCCTTGCATCTGCTGCCCTTATACTTCAAAAATGTGGGGGCTGCAGATTTGAAAGATGTATCAAAGGAAGCTTGAATTGTTGTTATGCATTTTGTAAGTGGAATACATTTCTACATTGCCTACCAGTGATGAAAGGAGTGAATATTTAAATTAGTTAATGGTACGTAGATCAAGTGGGCCACGCTACCTCTAATGGCATGTCAGGCCTGGAGTATTTTTAGAGCTGCACTCACCCAGGCTGTCACTTTCCTGACTTGTGCCTTGTTGAAGACAGCCCTTTGGGATTCAGATAATTTGCATGCTACAGACAGACTACTTGTATCTCAGTACTTAAATGGCAGATCGATATCAATCCCTGGTCAATGGTAAATCGAGGACATTGATGGTCGGGACTCAGCAATAGTAATATGGTTGAATGTCAAGGAAAGATGATTAGATTTTTGCCTGTTCAAGATGCTCATTGACTGGGATTAGTATGGCATGGATGTCACGTCAGTTTTCAGCCCGAGTATCATGGTGGCTGGGTCTTGATGCATGCAAGCACAAGTTGTATCTGTATTTGAGGAATTGCAAAATTATGCTGAACACTGCAAATGTCAGCAAACATCCCCGCTCCTGAAGTGAAGTTGGAGGGAAACACATTGATGAAGCAGTTTAAGATGGTTAGGCCTAGGACACTACCCACAAGAACCCACCTATAGCGATAATCCTCAGGTTCCGATGACTGGCCTCCATCAACAACCATCTTCCTGTGCTACATTAGAATCCAACCTGCGGAGAATTTTACTTTCCACTGATTTTGATTCTGGTTTGGTCCCATTACATCTCACTCAGTCAACCTGTTGCTTTGACTTCATGGTCAGTCACCTCACCCCTAGAATTTAGCTCTTTTGTCTATGTTTGGATCAAAGTCATAAATTAGGTCTGGAGCCAAGCTAGAACCTAAAGTGTATCAGTGTGCAGACTATTGTTAAGTACAATTTGATAGTACAGTCAACACAACACCAACACCTGTCACTTTGGTGATGGAGAGCAGACTGATGGGATGTCAGCTGATCCAAGTGGATTGATACTTCTTTCTGCAGACAAGACTTAATTGGGCAATTTTCCACAGTTCTGATAAATGCTATTATTGTAGCTGTATCAGAACAGCTTGGGTAAGATACAGCTGATTCTGGGGTATGCTTGCAGTACAAAGCTGGGAATGTTTAGGCCCATGGCTTTTGTTATAGTCAGTGCCCTCAGCTTTTTCATGATCATTAACACTGAGACAAGCATTCTGCAACTTTATTTCTGTTTTGCTATGGCACCAAAAGACAATGAATAACATTTTACTCTCCACTCATGTCAAAGACAAAATGAGCCACTTACTAACTCAGTTTTATTAATTCTGGAATTATTCTACCAATCATCTATGCACAAAATTACAGATTGTTAAAGAAAAGCCAGGTAGTCTCAATTTCCATACATTTGAGGCACTCCTTTCATACTTGCCAAGATTAATTTCCAACACAGTAATCTGAACTGACAGACTTTATTAATACAATGTAGACAACTGGAACTAAAGCCCCCATCTTATTGCTATTATTTTCCACCTAACTGCAACTAGCTAATAACGCTCATGAATGCCAGGCATTTATTCAATCATATAAATTTTGTTTCTATACTAGTGGGTAGAACATGAAATACACACATGGGAACAGAATACCAAGACACCAGATAAGGAAGACAAACAAATGTTAGAACAATTTAATGAGATCAATGTACTCTGAATAGAAGTATGAAGCAAAAGATTTCTGTAAGAAATAAATTATTACCTCGTCATTCAGATTGCTAACCAGAAGGACACTGTGGTTGGCAGAAGCTACTCCAGACATTGTTACACGACCAGGCATAGCCAATGGGCTCAGGGATCCTGGAACAGCTGCAAGAGATCAAACACTTTAAAATAAATCAATACTAGTTACCTGGAAGTAAACATTCCATATTTGCCACAATAAATGGTTACGAGATTACTGCAGTTGGCAGTGGCCCCAAAGGTAGGTCACCAAAACTTGGCAGAATTGCTACTGCAAGTGGCAATTTGTATTAAGCGGAGTATGGACTGGCTGGTCACTACAGTTCTCAATAAGCAAATAAGACTGCTCACATCTACTACTGAAGATCATGAATGAGTCAAGACCACACAAAAGGAGGAGTTAGGTGGTACTTGTGAAACTTCAGCTCATAGATGAGTTTCTGTTCTCAGTCATGGTGGGTAAATAGAAACCGATGGCAAAGAGAGTGGATAATTAACAAAAATTGAGTGGTGACAATGGGACAAATTTCCTCAAAATCACAAGTTAATTCCTGTAAAGACAGTATGGTCATCCAGCATCCTCTCTCCACTGATCAACACCTCATAAGAAATTCTAGTTCCTAGCAATTTATTTGAGACAAAACATCAGAAATACAATTTCCTTAGATAACTAACCTGTATTAGCACCCAGAATTTAAAAATATGCATGCAAAATTTGTTTAGAAAGTTTATCAACAAGATTTCTGCCAAGTCCTGTGTGGTAACTGCTTCTGCATGATTAATCCATTCAGGAAGCTGGATGCCACCTTGTCTACAGATTTATGCTATGATGCTTTGCACTCCTAAGTATTGCTCAGTACAAACATCTGAAGTTCCAATTTCATTAATCCAAAATTGCATGGTGAAATTCCAAAGTAAACTGCAAAAGGTTTAATTTTCTATGCACACTCAGTTTTACACCTGCCTTATTTATATCCTATAGGATATACGGCAAAAAATGTTTTACTTTTGCTTTATTCATTCATGGAAGGTGCGTGTGTGTTGGGGGGACAGGCACTGACTGGGCCAGCATTTATTACCCACCTGTACTTGCCCTGGAGGTGGTGGTGGTGAACTACTTTCTTGAACCACTACAATCCATGTGCTGAAGGTAGACCCACAACTGATAGGGAGAATGCGCCACAGTTCTGACCCAGCAACACGGAAGAACAGCGTTATATTTCCAATTCAGGATGGTGAGTGGTTTGGAGAGGAATTTACAGATGGTAGTTCTCCCATTTATCTGCTGCCCGTGTCTTTTTAAATGGAAGTATTTTGGATGGATTTGGAAGGTGCTGTCCAAGAAGCCTAGGTGAATTTGGTATAATACCTTGGGTGAAATGTGAGTACAATTTACTAATCAAAATTATTGATGCAACTCTAACCTGCAGTCTGTGCAAAGCTTAATGAAGTTGGAAACCCAGAGCTTCCACTGTATGGACTGGACATCATTCCTGCAGGGGTACCTTAAAAATGGAAGGCAAAAAAAAAAATCAACTCAATTTCCTTTCAATCTTTACAGAAGTGTAATTTTAAATTGGCACATTCATGTCATTATAATAGTAACTGTAGGTCAAAACATACATGTAATGCACAACAAATCCATTTTAAACAGAAATTTACAGAGTTATAGAAACATACAGCATGGAAACAGACCCTTCAGTCCAATTCATCCATGCTGATCAGATATTCTGAAACAATCTAGTTACATTTAGCCAATATCCCTCTAAACCTTTCCTATTCATATACCCATCTAGATGCCTTTTAAATGTTGTAATTGTACCAGCCTCCTCCACCTCTTCTGGCAGCTCATTCCATACATGCACCACCCTCTGCGTGAAGTTGTCTCTTAGATCCCTTTTAAATCTTTCACCTCACCCCTTAAAATCCTATGGCCTCTAGTTTTGGACACCCCTACTCTGGGAAAAAGACCTTGGCTATTCACCCTATGCATGCCCCTCATGATTTCATAAACTTCTATAAAGGTCACCACTCAGCCTCCGATGCTCCAGGAAAAACAGGCCCAGCCTATTCAATCTCTCCCTACAGCACAAAGCCTCCGACCCTGCCAACATCCTTGTAAATCTTTTCTGAACCCTTTCAAGTCTAACAATGACTTATCTACAGCAGGGAGACCAGAATTGAATGCAGCATTCCAAAAGTGGTTTAACCAATGGCCTCCCAACTACTATACTCAATGCAATGACCAATAAAGGTAAGTTCACCAAATGCCTTATTCACTACCCTGTCTACCTCTGCTTTCAAAGAACTTTGAACCTGCACCCCAGGGTCTCTGTTCAGCAAAGGTCCCCAGGACTTTACCATTAAATGTACAAGTCCTGCCTTGATTTGCCCTACCAAAATGTAGCACCTCATGTTTATCTAAAATAAACTCCTTCTGCCACTCCTCGGCCCATCTGATCAATGTCCAGTTGCACTCGGAAGTAACCTTCTTTGCTGTTGATCCTATAGGGCTTATTGTTGAATGTATACTTTTCACTATAAGCCTCAATTTGATATTTCCCCAGAAACACATTTAGTTACCTTTCGTACCCAATTATACTACTGGCTTCCATGACTTTCTTGGGGACAAGTTGCACAACGTAAATCATCATAGAATCCCTACAGTGTGGGGACAGACCCTTCGGCCCAACAAGTCCACACCGACCCTCAGAGCATCCCACCCAGACCCATCCTGCTGTAACCTTCCTAATCTACACATCCCTCAGCACAAGGGGCAATTTAGTGTGGCCAATCCACCTCGCCTGCACATTTTTGGACTATGGGAGGAAACCGGAGCACCCAGAGGAAACCCACACAGACATGGGGAGAATGTACAAACTCCACACAGTCACCTGAGGGTGGAATCGAACCCGGGTTCCGGGCGCTGTAAGGCAGCAGTGCTAATCGCTGAGCCACCATGCTGCCTTTATCTAAGATTTTTCTAAAAAAAAAAAAAAATCAAACTTCATGTTTTAACCAGTTGCAGAACCTCTCTCAAAGGACATAACTCATGTGGTTGATCACTCAGTCTCTCTCACTGTCCAAAAAGATTTACCACAAATGTGAAGTCTAAAAATCTACATGCAATGAACAGAATAAATAAATTATATCTTGCATCACCATGACCCTTCAGAAAATCAATGTGAATCTACAACTGCTGATGCTTAAAATCAGGAATAAAAAAAATTCTAAACTCTATTATGTAGTTGATTGAATTTTTAAAATGAGATTGAAAGTTTTTTTTATTAGATAAGAACATACTTTATCCTTTTTTATTAGATTAAGGGATACAGATCAAAGTTAGGTAAAATGGTGTAGAGGTATAGATCAGGATCTAATTGAATGGAAGAAATCTCAGATGTGAATAGTCTACTTTCGTTCATATGCAGCTTAAAACTGAACATTTCTTGGAGAATAATTTTACATGAAGTTCTCTTCTACGAAACAAAATAACTCACGTAACATTTAAATTATATTCTTTTGACAATGGAAATCTTAAAATGTATTCAGGACAGATTAAGCAGTTCAAAACTGGCATCCATTAAGTACTGTGAATCATTAGAATTTATTCAACTACTTTCTTTAACTTCATTACCACTTGTCGACACTCAAGCGAATTCATTAAACTGGAATCCTTCACTCACCACTCCTCTTCTGGCTTGCTCTCCACAAACAACACTCCTCTACACATCTGCTAAGTAACAAAATTCCACAAGCGTTATGAAACCAGTCAGGCTGTACCTCACTTGTCATTCCATTGCAACTCATTCAACGTAGCACTGCCCATCTTCCAGCTTGGTACCCTATGCGGAGCAACCCTCCTGAGCAGCATCTACTAGCAAATATCTGTTGGATCAAAGAAGAGGAGGAACGGCAAGTTTCTTCTATTCACTCGTGCTACCTGGTGTTGTTGATTGATTAGCATTTATTACCTGTCCCTAGTTGCCCTTCTTGAACGATTGCAGTCTGTGTGTTGTAGACTGACAACACGTTCTAGAACTGAATTCCAAGATCGTGACCCGGCGACAGTGAAGGAATGGCGATACGTTTTCAAGTCCGGATGACGGGTGGCTTGTAGGGGAAATTTTAGGTGGTCTTAACCATGTATCTGCTGCCTTTGTCCTTCTAGATATAAGTGATCACTGGTTTGGAATATGCTAAGGAGCCATGATGAACCACCAGCTGTACCATATCTACACTGCTGTGTCTAAGTATCAAACACATCATAGACAAATCACTTACTTATATTAAATGTACCACAAACAAAAAACTACTTTCTTCCTTCAACCTGACGAATCCAACTCCCATGACTATGTCCGCCCGTCCACCTTTTCTTACAGATGATTTTATCTAGCTTGCCTTTAAATGCAATGCTAACTCCTTTAAACATTGTGAAAGAGACTCTCAAAATTTCCTTTGGAAATATTAGACCGCATATAACACCTAGATCTGATCTCTTTGCAAAGGAAAACCTTTAAAGTACAGACTTGCTTCAATCAGGTTAGCTTTGTTTTCTAGATAGAGCCTCAGTCTGTTCAAACTTTCCTGATAGATATAGTCTCTCAGTTATAATCCTGGTATTATGTTTTGCATCTTCTCCACTGCCTCTTCAAATTTTCTGGAATAAGATCAGAACTGCTCACAGTGCCACCTACTATATTTATCTCAAAACTTCTAAATTTAAAATAGTGTTTAAAAATGGGTGAAGCAGCATGATTCCTTTGAATGATTTGAGTAAAGTAGTTCTAGATGCCTCTCCTCTACGCCATTTCATCACTAGCTTGCAAATAGTATATGCCACCATCATTCTTTATACCAACATATACACATCACACTTTTAGTGGTTAATTTATCAATTACACATCCAACAAGTAATTTAACATCTTTCTACATTTTATTGCAGTCAGCTTGTATTAATCAGAACACCATTCTTCTCGCAACTTAATTTGGTGTTGCCCAAATTTTGAAATTGTGTCCCCAATTCCAAGCCAGATCATGTACTTAAACAATGAAAACTGGTCCCAACAGGATTCTGGGCAGACCATCATTCATCTTTTAGCTTAGTAACTAGCTTTAATCCAACACTTTTCTGATGAGCTTGCAATCCATTCTTTCTTGTCCTATTTCAATATGCTCTGTCTTCAGTTAGAATCCCTTTAAAATTGATATTTTTAGGAAGAAAAATCAACCTGTTCAGACATGTTATGACTTAAATTTTGTGACAGGTGGGACCTGAACCAAGGCTTCCAGGTTCAGAGGTAGGGGCACTATCACTGTGCTACAACAGCACTTCTAAATTAGCATAAAATACATTTCTAGAAGGGCTGCACCCAAGATCAGTTATATACAAACAGACTAATCACTGCAGAGATAGTAGGAACTGCAGATGCTGGAGAATCTGAGACAACAAGGTGCAGGGCTGGATGAACACAGCAGGCCAAGCAGCATCATAGGAGCAGAGAGGCTGACGTTTCGGGCCTAGACCCTTCATCAGAAAAGCTTTTTTTGGGGGGAGGGGAGATTTTGAAACTTGTGAAATCCACATTGATACCATTGGGCTGCAGGGTTCCCAAGCGGAATATGAGTTGCTGTTCCTGCAACCTTCGGGTGGCATCGTTGTGGCACTGCAGGAGGCCCAGGATGGACATGTCGTCTGAGGAATGGGAGGGGGAGTTGAAATGGTTCGCGACTGGGAGGTGCAGTTGTTTGTTGCGAACCGAGCGTAAGTGTTCTGCAAAGCGGTCCCCGAGTCTCCGCTTGGTTTCCCCGATGTAGAGGAAGCCACACCGGGTACAGCGGATGCAGTATACCACATTGGCAGATGTGCAGGTGAACATCTGCTTGATGTGGAAAGTCTTCTTGGGGCCTGGGATGGGGGTGAGGGAGGAGGTATGGGGGCAGGTGTAGCACTTCCTGCGGTTGCAGGGAAACGTGCCGGGTGTGGTGGAGCTGGAGGGGAGTGTGGAGCGGACAAGGGAGTCACGGAGAGAGTTGTCCCTCCGGAAAGCAGATAAAGGTGGGGAGGGAAAGAGGTCTTTGGCTGATGAAGGGTCTAGGCCCGAAACGTCAGCCTCTCTGCTCCTATGATGCTGCTTGGCCTGCTGGGTTCATCCAGCCCTGCACCTTGTAGACTAATCACTGCACCCCTTTATCTCATTCATTGCTGTGCTTTTGAGGAATTAATTCTGAGAAAAGCCTTGGTAACTGAAGAGCTCTCAGGTCAAGCTAGAGTACTGCAACTTTAAGTGATTTCCTCACATCCCCTCCAAACCTCCTAACCCTTATTTAAAATCTATGCCCCCTGGTTACTGATCCTGCTAACAAGGGGAAACGATCTTCCATCTACCTTTTCTACATCCCTCAATTTTACACATGGATTCAATGTCAACCATGCATAATCCAGCAACCACACATTGTCAGCATATACAAGTCAACATGGCTTAATGCACTATCAAGCTCCTTT